TTTAGATACATCAGGTGAAGCAAAACCTCGTGGAGAACGATGAATAACTCTTAGCTATTTCTGACATTGAGTCTAAATCGGAAGATGATGGATTCTTGATTCAGCATGTGTGTTTCATATGTGTCCTAATAAGGACTCGTTTTTTACACATGAAACTGTTTCCAAAGGTGTCCTAGTTATGGGAAACAACGCATCTTGTCGGGTTGCTAGAATTGGTACAGTCAGATTGATGCTTTTGGATGGAACAATTAGAACACTTGGTCATGTTCCAGATTTGAAGAAGAATCTCATATCTTTGTCTATCCTTGATTCAAAAGGTTATGAGTTCTTTAGTAGAGGTGGAGTTTTGAAAGTTTGTAAGGGTGCCCATGTTATATTGGAGGGACGAAAAATGTCTCAATTATACATCTTGCAGGGTCGTGTAGAATCTAGAAAAGTCAATTAGCACAAGTTCATTACCGCGGTGGATATTCAGTTTGGTATAATACCTTTAGGAGCTTATAAGGGGTCAGATTTGAAGAATACATTTGAGTTGAATTTTCAAAGATATGGATAATACTGTCTTGCCACCATCATCTGCAGTGTCATCGTATTCATTTACTAGAGACGAACCCAGTGGAACAATATATGTGGATGTTGATTTTGTTCAGCATGCTTTAAGTGGAGTAGAAGATGTACAATCTAGCAAAGGGTCCTCTGAAAAAGCATTCGGAATTGATTCTACTTTGGGGTGTGTTACAGCCCATTTTGGTTAATTCAAAATCATTGTGATTTTTTTGGAATCTAAGATGATTTTACAGAATAGTGATTGGATTCATTGGAAGATGTGGAGTATTTTATATTTTGTGTTTTGTTGGAGAAATTAAGTTTTAATTATTGTTGAAGAAGTCAATTCATTTCTTGGTGAAATTCGTGTCAAGGTGGAGATTCGTGTCAATTCATTTCTTGGTGAAATTCGTGACCCAAATTCCTTTGTTGAAGTATTTGAAGTAATTGAAGAATTCTAATTGAAGTGCACGTCATGAAGAATTCAAGTTTGGAATGCTACTGGTGTCTTATGTCAAGTTACGAAGATCAAATTTCAATGATAATTAGGAGTTAGACTTGAAGGAGGACTCTTAGATGGTTAAAAGCATGTTTTGGAACATCAAACCTGTGAGATGGGAGCCACAACACCAAGGAGTGGTGCCGCA